CTCCGCCGACAGCACCAGCCGCAGGATCAGCGACCGCGTGAACCCGGACAGACCCTCCGGACCGACTGCAATATTGCACAACCTATTATAACTTGCTCAATTTTAACACACGAAATCTTTAGAACATTCAAAGTATCTACTGCTAACGTTCCTGTATGTTATGTGTAGGTCAACTTACTTGTATTTTGAATTGATTCCAGAATATTATGTAATGTGGAAGCGAAGAGTTTCTGATTGGCTGCATGGCACAAGGTGAGTTCTGCGAACAGCCTTATCGTATGCTCCTCCAGATTAGCGTACTCTGAGCTCTCCTGCCATGAACTGTGACAATAAAAGTACATTACCATAAGTATTAATTTATCTGCTTTTGTTTTCTTTGTTTAAATGAGAAAGAGAAGCGAGAGTACTGACGAGGCTCTTGGGCGCGGATAGCAGAGCATGCAGAGCAGGGGCCGCCAGAAGGCGCAGCCGGCCGCGCCCAGCCATTCCTTGAAGCGGCAGTCAACGCACATCAGCCGCGCCCACTCCACGATGTCGCAGATGTGTTGCATAGACGGCGCTGTAAAAATACCAAATGTTATCAAAATGTTACAACTCAAAGTTACACAATATGACTTAAAACTTAATTTCACTTACTTGTTACGGTTTGGTTCGGTTCAATTTCGGCATCTTTCATGTATACGTCTTCTTGAGTACTTAATTGTTCCTTAATTTGTTGTAATTTAGCTTCACTGTATTCTGTTGAACAAATCACAATTAGTATTACATTTTATTGGCAGTCTATTAACAGGCATCAAAAAAAAAAAAGCTCTTCACTTTTTCGTTGCGCTGAATTCTGTGTAGCAGGGTGTAACATTGTGGGGAGAGAGCACTACGAATCGCGCCGATCACCTTAGGATAGAAAAATATATCAAACATTTAATACCAGTAACGCAGCGCACGAGAGCGTGCGGCAGCGGCGACTGCAGCATCATGAGTGTAGCCGCAGGGGAGAGCGCGGCCGCGGCCAGCGTGCGCAGCTCGCGCCGGCTCAGCCGCACCGCCGCCGCCGCCGCGCCGCACGCCGCCGCGCCCTCCGCCGCCCCGCTCGCGCCGCCAGCGCGCGCCGGCCGGTGCACCTTGCGGTCGTCCGTCAAACCTTCCATACTGCATAAAAACAAACATCAATTAACCATACCGAGCAATTATTAAATCAATATAAGTTATCAAATGTACAAACCAACCTCTCGTCATTGTCTACAGGAACTCCAATATGTTCCATTAGTTTCTTGAAGAGATCCGGTCTTATGTAGCACATTGAGCATACGACTGAAAAGTATTTTTTTTTTAGTAAAACAATAAATATATTACAACATTTACATTGCGTAATAATTACTAACTGGCATCGAGTGCTTTCTTGAGGAAGCTAAGTTCGTCGACCTCCTGCACCCACACGAACACCAGGTCGAACAGCTCGTCCGTTATCAGCTCATCCAGATCGTCCAGCAGACGTTCCTCTTTCAGGGACCACAACACCTGGAATAAGTCACATTTTAGTATGATGGTAGTAGTAAATCCTCGGAATCAAATATATTCTGAACTCTAGTCAGCTAAAGTTTAGTTGTGTCTGACTGACCGATGCGAATGTGTGAAGCAGTGCGGCGGAGGGCGTGCGGCGCGGCCGTTGCGCCACCTCGGCCAGCCAGCGCACGAAGGCGGCGGCGGTGCCCTCGGGGCAGCGGCGGCACAGCTGGCGCGCCGCCCAGCAAACCGCCGTCACGCTTGCGCCCGCGCCCGCGCTCAAGGCCCCGCACATCTGGAACGCTAATGTACAACACGCTTTAAACTAGGTTTCTACATTATCTCCTTCAATAATTTACTCCTTCAATTAGGCAACATGCATAACAGACATGATGCCAAATTGAACCAATTTTCGTCAATCAAATACTTTTTAATGACGTCACAACACTCCGGCACCGCCTGTCGCATTTTAGTTAGACGAAAATTATTCAATTTTTTTTTATCTCAATGTTTGGTTATTTTCATGTTATTATTAAAACGTTAAAAAAAACCTACATATTCCCTATTGGTTTAGTTATTTGTACAAAGTTAACTTACAGTGTGCGTATGCGTGTTCGTCTGTAGCTAGTAGGGCGTTGAGCAGCGGCGCGCGCAGTTCGGGGCAGGCGCGCGCGGCGGCTAGCAGCGCGGTGTGCGCGGCGAGCGAGGCGTGCGCGTGCAGCTGCGGGCTGCTGCCGCGGGTGGCGAGCACGGCGGCGCACAGCGCGCGCACCGCCGCCGGGCTGCCCACGCGCGCCCACCGCGCCGACTCTAACTGAGCGCGCGTGCACGCCGCCACCACGCACACCCAGTTGTTGCTGAAATTTATTTCGATACATACTTTTAATTTTGGTTTTATACTCCATATTACACTAATTAGTAGTTTATACAATACGATAATTAATGACGAAACATATTTTACTATACTACAAATAACATTAAATACCAAAGTTTAGATATTTGTTTACTAAGTATGTCATGGCATAGATGTAGACCATAGCCTGGAAGAACGTGTATGCTTCTAATTGAGTTTTTTTTTTTTCAATTCCATGCAAACGGAGTCGCAGGCGAAAGCTAATCGAAACTATTATTATAAAGAGGAAAACCTCTTATTTTTGGATTTTTGTATGCATTGAATTAACTCAAAAAAAGCTATGTTATCAGTGAGTAACATAGGCTACATTTTTATTACACTTTAATTTAAGTGAAATTCAAGCAACAGCTAGTAATTTATAAATATGTTTAAGCAACCTGAATCCGTTGGGTGCGAACATAGTGGGCGCGGCGAATGCTGGGGCGACGATGACGCGCAGCTGCAGCAGGCCCATGTAGGAGCTGTCGCGCGGCTTGTACAGCCGCAGCTGCACGGTGGAGGCGACGGCTGGCCGCGCCAGCACCAGCCGGATGAACGTCATGCCGGCCGTCATCTGCGGCGGGCCCAGCGCCACCAGCGGGCCCCCGCACGACGCCTCTATGCCCACCGCACCCGGACACGCTATAAAAACATTTATATACATAATACAACTATAACTATATGTTTATAAGAAGTTATCTATACTTAATATTGTGAAGAGGAAAGATTTGTATTTTTATATGTATTGAAATAACTCAAAACCTATTGGAGCGATTTCCAAAATCTAGCACTATTAAAAAGCTAGTTTATAGCTCAGTAACTGGATATATTTTTAATTTCACGCCGGCGAAGTCGCCAGCAACAGCTAGTTATAAATATAATGAAAAATATAGATATCTTTTTAAAAGTGGCAAACGAGCAAGGATTCACCGGAATTCGGCCAGGTTTACATATTGATGTAATATGGTGTACTGACTGGCGAGGCTGGTGAGGTGCGGCTGCAGATGCACCTCGTGCAGCTGCGCGGCGTAGGGCAGCGTGATGGTGAGTGCGAGCGAGGCGTCGTCCGCGCTGAAGAAGTGGTAGGACCAGGCGGCCGCCCGCACGCGCCGCGCCGCGCACACGCCCGCCGACACGCCGCCGCCGTCCAGCAGCACGTCCGCCGCCTGCGCCGTCGGGTTGTCGCACGACACAGTGCCTGCAACAAACGACATACTTAAAACACATCTTTTGCTAAATACACTTGTGTGTGAAACACAACAAGATAACTTAAGATTTTTGTAGATGGATGGATGCATCTTTGTTACTACCTACATATAAGAACACAGGCTACTTATTTTTTTTTAAATCTGTAAATGGTAGTCATATACAGGGTCTATTATCGCAGTTAGTTATTTAAGAAAATATGTTAAAAAATTACAGACTAAAATATAACAAAAACCCTCTAAATATTTTTAACATTGACAAGGTGAGAAGTAATTTAATTTGTCATGACACTGGGGCAGATATTCTTGTCGATTTATACTATATAATACAAAATGCTTGTCGAATGTTTGTGGCAATACTAACACAGTGGGGCAATATTGATGAGTCCGTTGGCGGTGTCGGTGATTGGCGGCTGGGTCTTCTTGGCGCCGGCTGCTGTCGACATGTTGATGATCTGCGGCGGCATCTTCAGGTGGTTCATCAGGGACGACACTAGACCCTGGCTGTTGTTTGGCCCTGACTGGAAAGTACTACACGTTAAAACACATTTCAGGGATATAAAATACATGTAAGAGTTTGTATGACATATATAGTAGTAGTAGCATCTAGCATTGTAAAGACATACTAATATCAAAGTGTAAAAGCAAACACGCTTCATTTAAAATTATTATTTTTTTAAACAAGGCATACAATTGTAGCTTATTAAAATAGTAACAATTTGGTTTGTCTATTTTTGTATCGTATATAATAAACATTTTATGAATCTATGCTACCTGATGGCATGTGGTTAGTTTCTCTACAGAAAGTTCCAGTCCGCCGGCCTCTATAAAGGCGGCGAGCGCCTCGGACTTATCCAGTAACTTCACAATCAGTTGCTGCATCGCTTGAGAAAGATTTATCACCTCTTTTTTCCCTATTAACATACAAATACATTTTAAATTTCAAATTTTAATTATAGGAATAGTTCGTCTATTATAAAATAACTTACTGAGAAAGTCCATAAGACTGGGCACCATTAGTGCCGCGTTAGAAGCAACGGTCGGCAACTGAGATACCAACCAAAATATTTCCTCCTTCAGCGAGGAGTATTCTGTCGATGATTCCGTATTTGTGCCTGCAATTAACGTTGCAGATATAACAAATACATATACAATTATTTAATTATTTGAGATTAGCAATCATTATGTTAACTCACTTGAACTGATTACTAAATTGTTCAATCCGTCGCACACAGATAATGTCGCGTAGAAATCTTGCATGATGTCTGCTTCTTGTAATACTGGAAAAAAATATAGAATAAACGCATGTCAACTTTACAATGTGTATTAGTCTAGAGCGTTTATTTTTTTTTAATGCGTGTGTCACCTGCATCCGCGAGGCAAGGCGCGCGCGGCACGTGCTTGCGCTCGTCCTCCAGGTTGGTGCCGTCAGCTGCGCCCAGCGCCTTGCTCTCGTCCGTCTGAGACTGCTCGCCGCTCTCCGCCTTAACATTATGTAAGACAAATGTTATTGGTTCTCTAAGATTTATTACAAATAAACATTTTATAACAGTAGAGGACTAATATTAGACAACGAAATCCAGGATAGTTTGAGTACATGTTCTTGCTATACTTAATTTATTTGAGAATAACTTTCGCCTGCAACTCGTGTAGTAATAAAAAAAAAACAGAACTGAGTATCCTATGTGTTCTTCCAGATTATCCTTGACGCCTTCCGTTTCCTTCTATTTTTACATCGGACGTATAGTAATAATGTATAAGTTACTTGTCCTTGCGTTGCGACTGGCAGCGGCAGCGCGAGCAGGCGGCGCGCGTAGTATAACAAGTG